TTACAGAGGGATCCAATTGGCTGGGACTCCCAGGGGGCCAGCCAATCCGACCTCAGGGTCGTATTGCTCCTGTGCTCTTGGGACCAGCCCTCATTCTCGAGCTAAAGGCACCGGTGGATCCCCGCAGCCCTGGTATTCCAGCTACGTTCAGTTTGTCCATCTCAGTGTGGTGAGGCCAAGGTGGGTGAAGTTTAGAGTGGGTCAGGATCTGGGAAAGGTCGGAGCGAGGGGCGCCCCTTAGGACCCACGGAGCCCCGGACCCCTTCCTGCAGGAGCTGACCCTTGCGTGGATGCTGGATGTAGAAGCCCAGATGCCCCCTTTGGGCCAATGGAAAACGCCCCCCTTCGACCCGCGCTTCCCTAACCAGAACCAGACGCGTAACTGCTACCAGAATTTTCTGGGTGAGACCGGTTGGGCCCGATTAGAGGGGAGACCCCCCACCTGGAGACCGTTGAAATGGGAGGCTGGATCGTGGCCTGAAGGGGCGGGGCCTGCACCGAAGTGGGTGGGGCTGAGCCGTAAAGGGGCGGGTCCTGGAGTGGAAGAGGTCGCCTGATGGAGGCCATGAGATTGCCACCCTAGGGTGAAATGGACTGAGCCAGGAGAGATGGAACCTTGTCAGTAAAGGGCAAGACCAGGAGTGAGGAGGTTAGGTCGAGAGAAAAGCAGCGGGGCCTGAGGTCAAGGGAGGCAACTGATGTGGAGCTGGCTGGAACTGGGTCCTGGAGGGGCAAGGTGAAGCAGACAACCAGAAGGGACTGGACCTTGTCAGGTGGTAGAGCTCAGTCAAGATGGGAATTTGGGGGAAGGGGGAGTCTACAGTGGGAGGAGGAACCCGATTGGTTGGAAAGAGTAAGAGAGTAAGACTGAGTCCTAGGGTGGGTAGGATGGGGCAAATGTCTAGAGGGGCGTGGCTTGTCTCATGACACTCCCACCCCCACCCCGAGGCACTCTGCAGACTATCACCGGTGCGTGAAGACCATGAACCGCCGCGGGAAAAACACACAGCCCTGCGAGTACTATTTCCGCGTGTTCCATTCACTGTGTCCCATCAGCTGGGTGAGAGGGCGGAGCGAGGCTGGTGGAGAGGGTGGTGAGCTCAGACTCAGGCTGAACAGATGCTGGAGGGCCCCCTCTGCTTCTCCAGGTGCAGCGCTGGAATGAGCAGATCAAGCAGGGGACTTTCCCGGGCAAAATCTGACTGTGGACTTGAGCGGTGCTTCCCTTGAGACATCATCCGCCAGTAACCACTGTCCTCTCACCAAGCCTCAGCCTGGGTTACCCATCTCCACTCTTCCTCTACGCCACAAATAAAGCTATGATGCTGCTATTGTTTGCTTGTTTTCTTTCTTTTCGGCTCTGTGTTTTTTGAGATAGAGCCTCTCTCACTAATCCTGGAACTCACCGATGCGCGTGACTAGCTGGGATTCTCTTGTCTCTGACTCCCCAGCACTGGGATTACAGTCATGGGCGCTGAACCAGGCTTTTTATGTGCACGTTGGGGATCCAGACTCAGGTCGTCATGCACGCATGGCAAGTGCTTACTGGCTGAGACCCCTAACACCTTTTGATCAAGGGGGCAAGGAGGAGGATTGCTGCTTCAGAGTTAAGGCAGTCAAAATCAGGTAGATAGAAACAAGCTTGGAGGCTCTTGGGTTCTGCCTGTGATCACGAAGTCAAGATCTCAACGTTTAAGATAACCCGTGCCTTTAGTCCAGCACTCCAGAGGCAGGAGCACGTGAATCTCTGATTTTGAAGCTAGCCTGGTCTACATAGTGAGCTCAAGGCCAACCAAGGCTACAATACACAATGAAACCCTGACACGCCCCCCCCCCCAAAAGTCACAACTATAACAAAATCTCTTCCACCTACAGGGTGTCCTGTCTGTCAATCACGACACCTACCTGCTACCCTTCTTCAAATGTCCACATCTCAACCTCCTCTTCTCCTGCCTGGGCCATTTTGGCTATCATACCTATCCATCCAGTCCCTGGTCCTGAGGAATCTATTCCATGACCCAGTGCTGATCCACTATTCCCTAACCACTCTGCACTAACACTTTATCAGCTTCCCACCATGCCCTACCTCAACCACTCTGCACTGACACTTTATCAGCTTCCCACCATGCCCTACCTCCACTGGTCCCATTTCCCTCCAAAAACATCCTGTCCCCACCACAAGAGCTCCCTTGTCCCAACAGGGTCCCAGAGCATTTCCCACCCTTCAGCAGCCCTACAGTCCAGCACAACAGAATCCTGATTCAAAAAAGAAAAAAAAAGTATGAATAAAATATTCATGTGTGTACACACACCCCTTAAGTGCCTAGTGCACATGGGGGCTAGAAGTGGGCCTCTGATCTTCTGGAACTTAGAGCAGCAAATGTTCTTAACCACTGTGCCATCTCCAGCACCCTACCTGCTTTGATTTCTAGTGCAGGTCTACCCCTGTGCTCATATGGGGCCATCTGTCCCTTTACAGGTGACACTCCAGTTCTCCCGCCGATCCCTTCAGCACACAGCACTTTCATCTTAATCATTCTTTGATCTTGCCCATTTTTTTTCCATTTATCAACCAAATCACTTTGGTTCCAGTTGCTCCTTGGCCTATCTTCCAATCTTCCACCTTTCTGTGGACAGGTTTATGTAGCCCTGGCTAGCCTTGAACCCACGGAGAGCCATCTACCCATCTGCCTCCTGTGCACTGGGGTTAAAAAGGGCACCACCACCCTGCCCGGTTGACTCCCAGGCCCCTTTTTACTGGAGTAGGTGGGTGGGTGCTGGTGAGAGGTGGCCGGAAGACGGCATCAGCCGTCCTCGAGCTGCAGTTCCTGGGTGGAGATCATAAGCAGTCTGATGCCAGGCCCTCTGGAGAAACACCAGCCTTCTCTCCATCCTGAAGTCACCATTTGCTTCTTTATTATACTTTTAAGTCTCCAGTAGCCAGGATAGCCTTGAACTCTTAATCCTCCTCCCTCTACTTCCTACAGCCACCAAGCCTAGCACCAGTAATCTTTAAGAGCCAGAGGCCTCCAGGCCGGCTGTGCTAGCACCTGCCCACAGCTACCAGCCTCTTGGCTAGACCTGAAGTAATCTTCAAACTCTGTCTTAGAAGGCCTCATGTGACATTTACCTCCTTGTCACCTTCCTGAATGACCAACCCGTTTCCCTAGCTGTAAACCAGTCGGCTCAGAGTCCCGTTATCAGAAGCCGGTCGGGGGTTCTGGCTCAGTGGACTGGCTGGTCCCACCCTTGGTTGAACTGTCTGTCTACCACCTGCCCCGTGGGGGGTATGGCTCAGCTCTAAGGACTGGTTAGTCCCACCCTTGGATGACCCGTCTGTCACCTGCCCCAGAGGCTGCTACCACTCACCAAGGACACGCCCCAGATGGCCTAGGATGATTACACCTAGACCTTAGCCTCAGAGTGTCTGACCACAACCAGAGATGGACAAGGAAGTACAGGGTGAGGACAAGGCTACAGGAATATTCTGGTCACTCACCATCCTCACAGGCAACACTGCTGATAAGACAGCAACTAACCAGAGGACTTAATGACGTCACCCAGTTAAGTGGCTGGAGCACAGGACCATTAGCTGTGCAGCCACCTTTGTCCTGCCCAGAGACCTGGGTCTGAGTCCATTTTCTCCCAATGTCCAGCTTTCCTCCACCTCTTCTCCTTTTCAGGTCCATAATACTCCCTGCCATGGTCACTTGACTATTTCCTGTCTCTTTCCAACACTTTTAAAACTGAAACTCACGGGGCTGGAGAGATGGCTCAGCGGATAAGACCACTGGTGGTTCTTCCAGAGGACCTGGGTTCAATTCCCAGCACCCACATAGCAGTGGGTTCACAACTGTCTGTGACTCTACCTTCAGGGGCTCTGAGACCCTCACACAGAGGTACATGCAGACAAAATACCAATGCCCATAAAGTAAAAACAAATACATTATACAAAAACAAAAAAGTGAAACTCACTCTGTTGACACAGCACTCAGCTTCCCGAGTGCTGGGATTAAAGGTGTGCGCCATCTTAAGGTGTCCAGACCACACCTTGCCTCTCTCTACACCTACATCCACCCCCATCCACTGGGGCAAATTTCCAATATCCCAGGGCCACTCAGCTCTTTGTCTCACTCTGTAGTTCCTTCCTGGGACTGCGGGGGGAGGTCAGGACATCTCTGCTCTCAGGCTTTGTTCTACAGCTCCTCAAGGGCCCCTCTATGGCTCCTGGGGTCATCTGATCAATCTGATCAATCTCCGAGGTTCAAGGGGAGAAACAGGGATAGTTTCAGAGAGGCAGCACCAGTTTCCACACTGGCTCCCTTTATTTCTTGGTTATTTCTTTTCTGGTACAGAGGGTTAAATTTGCTATTTACCAAGCAAGCCCTCTACCACTTAGCTACACCCTGCAGCTCTGCAGCTTTTTTAACTCCTCGAGTACAGTTGGGAGCCCACCCCTCACCAGGGCTGGGTTTCTGGGCCCGAGCTATGTAATCTCCCCAGAACCAGATTTTGCACAGGTTCAACTACTCCCTGTCCTCAAAGACTTTTTTTCTCTAAACAGAGTCTACAAGGCCTTGGCTGGCCTGGTACTCCCTGTGTAGACCAGCTTAGCCTTGAACTCACAGACATCAACCTACCTCTGCATCTTGAGTGCTGGGATTAAAGAGATGCCACCACACTAGGCCCTACACTAGAGGTAAAGGCACCTGATTGAGAAGTGAAAGGGACAACTTTTCACATGGCCTTAGGCAAGTCACTCTGCTTCCCTGTCATCAGTCACCCATTTATCACCTCACTTTCCCACAACAGAGAACACTCTTGGTCATCTCCTCTAAGCACAGAGCTTACCTTAGTGTCGCAGTTCCCAGAACCCACTGCCCCTCCCTTCTTAAGGCTTGTCAGGGTAGCTATTAGTGTCAAAGAATGCCACCTCATCTCCCCAGCGAGGCTGAGATCTCACCCTCCCACTTGACATCCCCCTAAAACACAAAAACTCCTAAGGGCTTAGAAGGTTTTAATAAAAAGTTCAAGTTCCTCCAATCCCCCATCATACCCCATTCTGGTGTGGGGAAGAGAGGGAGCCTCCCCTACACCCCAGTAGCACCAGGGATAGCACCGTGAGAAAGATGAGGTCACACCTGGCCTCCCTGAGACCCATGGGGCAGGGCCAAGGATGAGCCCCTGGGTACCACCTACCCCATCTGACTGCCCCTGCCTCCAACAACTGCAGAACTGAGAGTCAACCTACTCCCTACTGTGGGGGCAGTTGGGGAGGGCAAACCCCCAAGTCAGTTGCACCTCCCTGAGGCCTGAGCTTCTAGAGAGTCGCCATGGAGTGGCCCCCACCCCTTATGGCTTTGCTCCCTGGGGAAGAAGAGGCTGAGGAGAGGGGGATGGCTCCTGAAGTCCTGCGGTGGGGACAGGGATGGGGAGGGGGACATCAAATGGCCAGGGCTCCCTGCTTGAGTGGGGTTGGCTCAGGGGTCAGCAATCAGAGAGCAATGAGGATCAACTCCCTAGGTATGTCCTAAACAACACACTCCCAGGATCAGACCTGGGTCAAGGGTCAACTCCTTCCTTCCCTTCTGGAGCAGTCCAAGACAGAGCCTATACTCCAATCTGGGCTCCTGCAGGCAGTCCATCATGGCTCACCACTGTTGATGTCCAGATCAATGGAACCATGACTGACCACTAGCCGGAGGCGCTTAGGTGGGCAGAAAGGAGCAAAGGCAAGGGCCTGTTTAGGGACAAGGTCAGGGGTGGGGACAGGAGCTGGGCTCCCAGTAGGAGCAGGAGCAGCTGGTAGGGCTGGGGCTAGGCGGGTAAGGTCCACACGCACCACAGAAGGCAGCCCATAGCGTCGGGCCCAGTACCAGTCCTGTTGTGGGGTCCAGCGGGTCTTGGGGAGCAGGTGCAGGGTCACTGTGGCCTCACCCCGTAGTTGACAGTGGGGACCACAGCCTCCCCATCGGTGTAGGGAGACATAGGCAGCATGGAGGACAGGGGACAATGAGGTCGAGCGGATCCTGGGACGGCGACGCTTCCGGGGTCGAACTCTGGGCTGGGGCTGAGGCATCCACTGGAGCCAGAGGGGCAAGTAGTCCAAGTGTGGGCTAGCAGGCAGCAGGCATGGGGGCTGGCAGGCAGCTGTGGTGGTCAGGGAAGAGAGAAATAAAGGGGGAAGCCGGTGAGCAAGGCCTGAGCAGTTCAGAAAAGCAGTGACCCAAAGGCTAGAGAACAGGGGTGTGCTCACCACAGAATGGGTCACGGCGCAGTGGGGACAGGTGGGAGCAGGCCCGCAGGCCCAGAAGGCTCTGCTGGCTGCTGTCCAGGCCCTGCTGCAGACGCCGCTTTGTCTCTCGGAGTTGATACTTGTCCAGAGGTTGTGACCGCAGCTCCAGTTCCCTGGGCTGAAGCCTGAAAGCTCCCTCACCTTTCCTGCGGGAACAGAAAAGGGCAAAGGGAGATGCTGAGTTGGAATCTTCATTTTCAAGTGAATGCTGAGGATGTATCCCAGTCCCAGGACCCTCGACTTCCCACGGTAGGCTGGCACACTCCACCCACGCTCAGGCACGCCTACCTCTCACAGGTGTAGCATTCACAGTGCTCATTCTTCTCACCGAAGAAGCCCTCCCCATAGAAGCATGTCACTTCATCCCCTGGCTCAATGTCCCGGAGCACCTTCACACAGGCAGTATTCCCATCTGAGGGCACAAACTGAGGCCATATCCACTCAGTACCCTGGCCTGGGTCACAGGGTGGAAGCTATTCAACTTTTCAATCTGGCAGGCACTAAGGGTTCTGTAATGGGTTAGGCAGGCCACAGCTGAGAAACTCCTGCCCCACCACATCATTTATTGGCAGCAGCCCTGGCTAGAGCCTGTCCTCTGCATGGCCCCTTAAGAGTTTGCTTCTGGACCCTAAGAGATACATACATGGATCTACAGAGAAAGGAGAAAAAGACAAGGTCTCCTGAGTAAATTGGGAACAGGGGGTTCACGGGAGAGGGTAGAAAGGGAGGGAAGCAGAGAAAAATGTATTGCTCAATAAAAAAACCAAAATAACATGAAAAAAAAAAGTTAGCCTTGTGTCTACCTTTCCCTGCAAGCCAATGGCCCCCAAGCAGTATGCAGTGCCAGCAGGGACCACGCCTCGTTTCTTTCCACACCTCAGACCTGCCTAGCCCATCACAGAGACCCCCAAGATTCACTTACTTCTTGCCACTCTGTCTCTGTGGCCACCTCCCCTTCTCCCAAGGCTTCTGTTCACTCTGTAGCCCAATTCCCATGTCTTCCATCTCTGCCTCTGGGATCATTCACCCCAAGGTTACCTACCCTACAGGCTCCTCATTCTTGTCTCCCTCCTGTATCTGCACCTGTCTCTGTACTCCCTATCTGAGAGCAGACATGGTCATCCTAGCTATCTAGCCAGCCAGCCACTTAAACCTGACACCCAAAGATGCCTCCTTGGCTCATGGCCTCCAGTCCAAACGGTCACTGCCTTCTGGGTGTGCCACTTCCTGTACCTTTGTCCTCCTCTCCTCTTGCCCCTCTACCTTCAGCTGGTCCTTCATCACCTCAAGGCCCATCCCCTCCTCATGGCCACCCTCACTCTATACACCTCTTTCCTTCCCACTAAGCATCCTGAAAACTGCTGCCATAGCCATCTAGAAACCAAATCTCCCACTACGCAGCTAGGAGAGTCAACTAAGCTCACTGGCATGGCTGTCACCACCTGTGCCTCATGGCCCCTTCCATATGATGTGAAATATCTTGCCCACTTGTAACCCTAGTTTCTTTCAACACTTAGAAAAACTCTGGTCTTCCAAAGGGTTCCAGATCCCTAAGCAAGTTGATGGTGTGCATGCTGCCCTTTGCTTTCTGGCCTGGTGAAGGCTGTGAGTCGTTACCTCAAGAGCCTCTGGAACACAAAACAGTTGTCTTAGGGTTGTTGACAGGAGAAACTTGAGGCCAGGCAGGACAGCTATAACTTGTCCCAGTTCTGAGTCAGTAGGCTGAGCTTTGGCCCTTACTTATTTATGCCTTGGGGGCTCCCACAATGGGCCAGAGGTCTGTGCCCCAACAGAATGCTCCTTACCTTATTATTACTACTTGGTTTCTTTCTAGTTTTTTTTTTTGAAGACAGAATCTTATTATTATATCATCCTAAGTGTTCTGAAACTCACTATGTAGACCAAGCTGGCTTCCAGCTTGCAACAATCCTCCTGCCTCTATCTCCCAAACACTGATTTCACAGGTACAAGTCAGAGTGTCTAACTAAACCTCTGCTCTTGTTCCTGTTGGTCCCATGATTGGAACTGAGAGCACTCATATGCTACACAATCACTCTAGGCTGAGCTACATCCCTAGCGCTGCTTGTTCTTTCTGTGGTACTGGCTACTAACGTAGGGTCTTGCACTCCACCCTGAAGTTTCATTGAAGTTGCCCAGATTGGCCTAGAATTTAGACTTTCCTGCCTCAGTCTTCAAAGACATTTGGATGACAGGACAATATCAGCACAAGTTCCAGCCAGGTATGTCCTCCTCCCTTACTCTGCCCTTACCCACAGTTTCTTGAGGGGGGAGGGGTACTTGGCCTCCCGGATTTCCTTGGCTTCTTCCCTCCCCTGCCATCCATGCTGCCCAGGTGAGAGTCTCCCCTCCACTGCCATCCATCCTGCCCAGGTGAGATTAGCCACCTGCTAGTTTGTCTCCCCATCACACCCTTAGGCCCCATTTTAGTTAGTAACCCATGCTCTGGTAACAACAGTGCAAATACACTGTTGCCTCTTCTTCTCCCTCTGACACCCTTGGGGACTCACGCCTTCCCATGACGCCCACTCCAGGTGCTCCCACCAACTACAAGGGATGGAAACCACTTTATCAGGAGAGTCCAAAACCACCCCTCCTGTACCTTGCACCTTCATTCCCCACATGCCCACTCCTCACACTCTGCAGGACTCACCTTGCAGTTGGGTTTGCAGTCTGTCGCAGTTGGATGGGCATGAGAGAAGAGAGAAAAGAGAGTGAGCAAGTGAAGGCAGCCCCTTTCCCTTGTCCCATCCACTTGCCTGCCCTCCAGCATCTTCCCCCAGCCTTGCCCTCACCATGGTTGATGAAGGCAGCTGGGCCTAGCCACAACTGGGCACTCCTTTTCCGGGTGGAGTACATGATGCTGAAGTCGTTCTCTCCGGCCCTAAGCAGGTTCTCATCCTCTTCACGCAGCTCTGCAATGCAGCCGACCAGCAGCTCCAGTTTCTCGTTCTTCTTCCTGCCGAGAGTCTATGCTGTATGGCTCTGAGCAAGGCCTCCCAATCCTTACTAGGGTTGAGGACCTCTCATGCAGAATCCCCCAGGGAGCAGGGGCTCCAAGGGGCAGGCGAGTCATTGCATTCTCCATCCTCTCACATCCATCAGGTCCTCGTGTCTCGCTAGCCCCACCTCCTCTGGGTCCTACTTCATCCACAGGGACTGAGTCTTAGCTCCCAGCAGCTCCCTTACCAAGCACGGGTAGACACGATCTTGGCCCCATTGGTCTCCATGGAGTAACGGGTGCAGGGCAGAATGGTGAAGCCACTCTCAGGCAAGAAGGCGCGGAGGTAGCAAAAAATCTGAGAGGAGAGTAGGGGAGGGCGGGATAGTGAGGACGGTCAACCACAAGGGGCCCCTTTCTCTTGGACCAGGTCTACTTTGTCATTGACTGTGTGGCCTGGATCCTCTCTGGGTCTAGGTGTCCTCATCTGTTAAAGGAAGAGGAGGTTGGACCCTCAAAGCTCACCAGCCCCCAATTATTTTCTTCTAGGATTCTGAGCCTTACAGGGTGTCTTCAGGGGCAAGGCAGCTGGGACCTGGGGGCTGCTCTCCTAAGAGCTCCAGAATCTGCCGGCTAAATGGGGAGCACAGTGCAGGTCAGAGCAGGGCATGGGCTCCCTCACGTGGGTCTTGAGGGCAGCCTCCTGCCGAGGGGCCCGGTTCTGGAAGTAGTGGGCCATCCAGCCTCCCACTGTCAGGGCCCGGTATGCAGCCTCTAGGTCCCGCTGTCTTAGGAAAGCTTCCAGTGCAGAGCGAAGGTAGTGTTGTCGCCGCAGAGTGGGCACGGGGCTGGGAGAAAGGATATGCATGCCTCAGTTGCAGGGAATTCCAGAACCCTGACCCCCACCTGAAGCTTCAGGGAGGTCAGGCTGAGAGTTATAAAAAATACAAGAGAAAGGGTCCAGGCCTGCCATTACCCCCAGAAACCTCTCACCTGACATTCATCTTATGGGTGCGGAAGCCGAGGTAGGGGTCAAGAACAAGGCTGGTGGCCAGGTCATCGTTCTCGCACAGTTCTCGGGCTGTCACTCTGTCAGGCCCCATGGTGCTCTGAAGATCATGCTGCTTCTGGCACCAACGGGGCACAGAAATGTGCTCTGTGCCACTCAGAAGCTGTCTGTGGGTCCCACAGCCTGCTTATCTGTAGGAGAGCATGATGTGGGGGGAGCAAAACTGACTTCACAGGCCTCTGTGCAAGAATGACACCCAACAGCTACTTCGGACGATGAGGAAACCCCAGGAGAAACACTGTCTCTTGTGCATTAAGCACTTCCCTCCCCTCCCTGCAAAACAAATGCCCAGTCACACACACAACCTCCTCAGGACACGTGCACTTTCATAGATGTCAACACACAAACCACCTCGCCAAACGCACATGTAGGAAACAAATCCCCGTGTACCCAGGGACTGTAGATTAATTGGCAATCTGAGATAACTTCAAAGCCTTGGCATTGCAGGAGGGAGTTGGGATAGCTGGGCCTCATCAAGGGAGAAGGTGAAACTGAACTTAATGTTTCTTAGCTTCTAGCCTGCCTTTGCTGACCCTCGCTAGGCTGGGTCTGTCTTTACCACCTCCCTCCAAGGTCACCCTACTCTGGGAGTGGTAAAACGGCTGTGGGTGGGACCCAGGCACCCTGGAGGGGGAAAGGGGATCAAGTACCTGCTCCCTGACTGAGAATTCCAGCAAAGGGGAGATCCTCAAGGGAACAACAACAACACAATAAGAAGGAAGGAAAGGAAGGGAATGGAGAGCAGAAACAAGTCAAAACAAAGGGAAGGAGGCGAGAGCAAAGGGGAAAAAAAATTAGATTCAAAAAACCAAATCAAGCAAAACATAGGGACAGGTTACCCACTGCCCTCATCATGGTCTCTGGCAGATCTGCACCTTGGGAAAGAGCAATGTGAGAACAAGAAAGGAGGAAGAGTGGCTGAGACACGAAGAGAAGCTACAAGAACTGGGAGAAAGATCTGGAAAAGAAAACAAAACAAAACAATAAGTCTAGGTTAAATGAAGAGGGTGCTAAGAAAAAGCCTGGATGTTGGGGAGGAGCTTATGGGAAAAGACAAATAAAGCCAGGTACAGGCGGTAGAATGTGAAGGAAGAGAAAGGCTGCAAACATGGAGGGAAGTCAAAAGGACGCGCTGGGGGGGGGGGGGGAGGTGGCACCTACGGGTGCAAGGGAGGAGCCCACGAAATCCAAAGGGTAGGTAGACTTAGGGTCTAAGGAAGGGCCTAGCGGTCCCAAGTAGGGTTTGAGGGGAAGTCCTGGGGATCTGAAGTGACGAGAACATAAGAGGCACTAGGGGTTCGAGGAGGGAATTGAGGAAGCGCAGTAAAGCCTGGGAAGGTTGTAGAACGGGGTGGGGAAGCAGTAAGAGTCCAGGCGAGGGCCTCAGAGGCCACGACAGTGAGACAGGAGTCAGGAAGTGCCCTGAGAGTGACACGGGAGGTTACGGTGCAGGAAAAAGGTGTCAGGGGCAGGCCCTGGTGGTGCAGAGAGCCACCCCTAAGGGGCAAGGAAAGACCTGGGAGTGAGAGAGGGGTCTGCATGGGCTGCGAGGGTGCAGGGAAGGCTACGAGTGAGGAGCGCGAGGACCCGCGGGGCTGGAGACTTGGGCGGCAAGGCTCGAGGACGGGCCCGGGGACAGCCGGGTCAGGGGGTGACTGGGAGGCCGGGCGACGCGGGGCGGGGGCCGAGAGGGAACTCAGAGGTCGGGCGCCGCGCCGCCCCTCACCCGCTTCTCCTCCTCCTCCTCAGGCGCCCGCGCTGCCGCCGCCACCACCTCCCACCGCCTGGTCCGGCTCTCGTCAGACACTGCCGCCGCGCCGCCCCTCGGCCGAGTTGACGGCCGGCGCGTCCTTCTATTGGCCCAGTTTGCCATCACTCCTCCGTTGCTATGAAACCCGAGTGGCTCTTATTGGCTGGCTCTCATTGCTCTCTTTTTTCCCGCCTCTCTTGGCCCCCGCCGGTGCCCCGACAAAACCCCGCCACGCCCGCGCTGTCAATAAACCTAGCGGACTACAACTAATGGCTCGCGTCACTGTCCTTCAGCTGTTGCCATAGCGATACGGCCCGCCCTCTCCTCCCGCACGGCCCCAAATCAATGCTTTCATTGGCTTAAAACGCCGTCCCTCCGAGCGAAACTCTGTCTGGGTCAGGTTATTCAGGTCCAAGTGGAAGGAGGGCGGGATCTGCCAGATCCAAACTTCGTATATTATTGGTTGATTTTGGGAAAGCTTATGCTTCCATTAGCTAAGGCCTCTGTCCATCACCATAGAGTCTCGAGCGCTATTCTCTTTCTTTCAGCTTCAGGGGGCAAAATCTCTAAGCGAACTAGGAAGGAAAGAGGTGACTGCGCGCGCGCCACTACTGCCCTCGGCCCTGGGAGACCATTGGTTGCCGTGGCAACAAAACTTCATTGCCAGCCCTGCTTGGCAAGAAGGCTCTCTCTCTCTCTCTCTCTCTCTCTCTCTCTCTCTCTCTCTCTCTCAATATTTCTTATCGGTTTGGAAATTGTACCTATAAGCACTGTGTAAAGTTTCCTTGCCCTACCTATGAATAGATAGGAAAGAAGGGACGCTGAGAAGTTGAGATTTTGGAGACAAGCTCTGACTCATGGGGCGCTCCCGTGGGGAAATCCCTGTAATTAGGATCACCCACCTCTTCAATCCTGCAGATATAATTAGCGTATCATAATTATATCCAAACAAATAAGTTCCATGCATGGAGGAGGCAGTCTTTGTTTTCCATAAGTTATCTATTTGGTGGGTTAGAACAATGCCTATGGCACAGAACGTTTCATTAGTGCAGGCTGAAGGAACAACCGACTGAAGTGAGGCTGGGACCGTGAGATGGCTCAGCCGGTAAAGGCCCTAGACCTGTCAGCCAGGGTCCATGGAAAGAAAGCAGAGACTCCCACAGGTTGTCCTCTGACCTCCATGTGCATGTTGGGGCCTGTGCATCCTCATACATGCACATACACACAAAATAAACTAATTAAGATATAGTACCTTCTTTTTAGAGACAGTATGCAGCTCTGGTTGTCCTAAAACTCACTACATAGATCAGACTGGCCTTGACCTTATAGAGATCCTCCTGCTTCTGCTCCAAAGTGTTGGAGTTAAAGGTGTGCACCACTCTGTCCGGCAGAACGTTTTGTTTTTAATGAGGCTGACGGTTTTGCCCTATTCTGATTCTGTGACCTTGGGGAAGTACTTTGGCCCCTCTCAGCTTCCCAATTCCTTCTACAAAACAAATGGTACACACTGGGACACTTCCAAGCTTCCGAAGGTCTGTACTACACCACCTTGTCTCTCTCCTTGGGTGCCATCATATCGATCAAATCTAGTACTGACAGAGGGGGATCAGGCCAGAATATTGCCCTGTAGCAGTCCCTAACAGGGTGACTCCTACTGTGACTTCTCTGGTTATCAGCTTAGAAGAGATGGACAGTAAAAGCCAGGTATGGTCTTATATCTATATCACTGCAATGGTAACTGTGGTGCTTTGAATAGAAATGGTCCCCTTAGACCCTGCATTTGAATGCTTGGCCCATAGATAGTGACACTATTAGGAGGTGTGGCCTTGTTGGAGAAAGTACATCACTGTAGGGGTGGGCTCTGAGGTTTCATATATGCTCAAGCTACAACCAACACACAGTTTCTCCTTCTGTTGCTTGAGGATCAAGATGTAAAACTCTCATCTCTTTCTTCAGCATCCTATCTGCCTGCACACTGCCATGTCTTCGCATGATGATAAACCTCTGAAACTGTAAGCCAGCCCCAATTAAATGTTTTCCTTTATAAGATTTACCGTGGTCATGGTGTCTCTTCACAACGCTAGAAACCCAAACTAAGACTGTGACGTGTGGAAGTGGGAAGATCAGGAGTTCAAGGTTATACTTGACTACACAGTGAGTCTGGGAGACCCTTTGGCTAAAAAAAAAAAAAATTAAAAACAAATGGATAACTAGGAGAGAAGCAAAGAAGGGCAGCTGCATTCAGAACGTTTTTTTGTTTGCTTGTGTTTTATTTTTCGAGACAGGATTTCTCTGTATAACAGTCCTCCTTGTCCTAGAGCTCACTTTATAGGCTAGGCTGACCTCGAACTCACTGAGATCCACTTGCCTCTGCCACCATTGCCCGGCTGCATTTAGAATTCTTAAAAATGTGTAATTTGCCGGGCAGTTGTGGCTCGTGCCTTTAATCCCAGCACTTGAGAATCAGAGTTTGAGGCTACCGTGGGCTACAGGCTCCAAAGCTACATAGAGAAACCCTGTCTTGAAAAACAAAACAAAACAACAACAACAAAAAAGTAACTTGCCAAAGGTGGAGGTGCTCACCTTTAATTTCAGTGCTCATGAGTCAGAGGCAGATAAATCTGAGTTTGAGGCCAGCCTGATCTACAGAATAAGTTCTTTTTTGTTTGTTTGTTTTTTGTTTTTTTTCAAGACAGGGTTTCTCTGTCGCTTTAGAGTCTATTCTGGAACTAGCTCTTGTATTGTAGACCAGGCTGGCTTCGAACTCGCAGAGATCCGCCTGGCTCTGATTAAAGGCGTGTGCCACCACCGCCTGGCCAGAATAAGTTCTGTGACAACCAGGACTACACAAATAAAACTTGTCTCAGAAAAAACAAAGACAAAACAACAACAAAAGTGGGGCTCTTCAAAGTACAGCTCTCACATACGATAGCAACACCCTAGAGAAACGGTCACGGGCTCCCAGCTCTCACATACGATAGCAACACCCTAGAGAAACGGTCACGTGCTCCCAGCTCTCACATACGACAGCAACACCCTAGAGAAACGGTCACGTGCTCCAAAAATATGAGTGGGAGAATACTTGCTACAACAACTGAAAACCTGAATTGTCCCCCAATATCTATCACTTGAAGAGTTAGACAGATGGGCCGTTGTACACTCCCACAAAACAGCACCACCAGGCAGTGGATACAGGTGAGTCAAGGAGCATTTATCCACATGAAGACCTATATAGCACAACCTGTCCCGAGATCTATGTAGGTCAATGACACTCACAAATGTTCCTGTTATGCCCAAATCCACGAAGTCCCCCAAAGCCAACAAGGAGACCGAGTCCCGTATGTAAAAGCAAAGAGCTTTTATTTTATGCAAGTTTGCAAACTCGGTCTCTCTACACATCCAACATATTGGAATAAACGGAGAGCCCCAAACTCAGTTAGAGTTGTGTTTTTAATAGTAAAGGTGGGGGTGAAGGGTTTCTGAGGTTCAGGACTCTTGATTGGCTGACATCTGTCTAGGGGTGTCCTGGTGAGTGTGTGTGCTGGCAGGTGATTCTATCTAAAACGGTTGGAACGTTAGGCATTTCCTTTGGATGGTCTGTTCTTGGGTGGTGCTCGAATAATCTCAGTTTGTGGTTCTTCCTGCAACCAGGTATTGCTTCAGGGTAAACTACTGAGACTTATCAACAGCTGAGTCCTACTCTGGCAGGTGGCAATGGTTGGAAGTAAAGAACTTCCTTTGGGTGATCTGTTCGTATTTAGCTTATCCTGGCTGGCTCCTACAGTTCCAAACTCATGAAATAATTCTGAGGTTGAGCATTCACACTGCAAGAATGAAGACCACAGATAGAACCTGTGTCCATATGGACAAATCCCAGGGTTCAGGAAGTGAAGACGGGATTTCCAAGCAAGCTGGCTAGCTAGTCTTCAAATCCACAAGCTCCAGGTTCAAGTGGAAAACCCTGCCTTGATGAACAAGGTGGAGAGGACACAGCTCTTCGGATCAAGGCGTTTTACTGTCCCTGCAGATCTAAGTTCTGACAAAGGTGTTGTAAGCTTATATTGGAGAAAAGACAGCATCTCCAATAAATTGTGTTGGGAAAGACTTGATTTACACAAGTAAATGAATGAAATTAGATCCAGGGAGGGAGAAATGGTTTCATGGGTAAAGGTGCTGGCTTCCAAGCCTGAGGACCTAGTTGGATTCCTCAGACTCACAGGATGGAAGGAGAGAACCCAATCCTGAAAATTGTCCTGTCATTTCCATACACATTCTTTCCCCCACCTAAATAAATAAATGTAATAAAAGTGTATTTAAAAAAAAAAAAGAAAGGTGACTTATAGAATCCCAGAACACTTGGTGTTAAGACAGGAAATTACCTGCAGTTCAAGGCCAGCCTGGGCTGCATGATTGTGAAGCCAGTCTATGCTACTACATGTGGTTTTGCCTCAGAAAAACAAACAGATAAACAATCAAAAAAAGCCACATATAGTGGCTCATAACAGTAACCCTGGGTGCTAAAGCGGAAGGATCGTGGTCCCTCAGTCTGAGGCCAGTTTGGGTCACATAGCAAATGTAAGGCCAGTCCTGGTTACATGAGACCCTCTCTCAAATATACTCACACATACAATATCAGATAGCAGACTAAGGATATAGCTCAATGGTAGAAGGTAGAATACACAAGGTCCTAGGTTCAATCCCTAGTTCTGAGAAGAAGAAGAAGGAGGAGGAGGAGGAAGAAGAAGAGAAGAAGAAGGTGATGACGACACGACAATGACGGTGACTCAGTGGCTGGAGAGATGGCTCAGCAGTTAAGAGCACTGACTGCTCTTCTAGAGGTTCAATTTCCAGGGCCCACATGACAGCTCACAACTGTCTGAAGCAGGCAAAATACCAATGAACATAAAACAAACAAACAAAAGCCCTAATGATCTCAGGACCTAGGTTCAAATCCCAGAATCCACATGGCA